ATCTGCTCCTATTACAGAGCCAGGGCATGTAATCAGCTGAGAAATTACCAAGAACTCATCCTGAGGTATAGGTACAGCTGGTATGAACACAACTGTATTCTACAGCACATTCAATAAAACAGAAAAATGGCTGAAAAAAGTGAGTTTATCAGCGTGCAAAGAAAATTCTTAACAGGATTTGGAAACACAGCACATCATTTGCCACTGTAATACAGGCAATGCTTTCCATTTCATCAGCTGAGCCACCCTGTAGAACTTCACTATAAAATTCTAAACTAAACTGGTATCAAAAATAAAATAATATTGGAAAGTGCTCAGAAACATTATTTAACTAAGGCACTATAGAACTGGACTAATTCTTCAGATTCCAGTAAACACAACATTTCTGAATTCACACTGTCAGACACCTTTCCAAATTCACATCCAGTGAATAAAATTTAGTTATTCTTTATGCACAAAGGTTTTTCATTGTGACATGATTCAAGTCAGTGAGAAGTTAAATCTGCTTCATAAGGGTAATACATGCTCATTAACAATGCAAGGTGTTTGATTTATTATTAATTCAGTCTCTACACTACATAGAAAAAATAAATATCTCGTGAAACAGCCAAAGTCATTCATTTCCATATCAGCATCACCAAGGATCTTCTTCCACCTACAAGGAGTAAGAATAAGAGTGAAATGAATGCGTAATTCATGTTGACTGTGCTAAAATATATTTGAAAGTTTTGAAGACTTAGTTTTTGTAGACAATAGAACATAATTTCTCTACACTTCAAAATCATAAGGACAGATTCAACAGCAATTTTCTTTTGGAAGTATCAACAATATTACTGCAATCCCATTAATACATCTTCAGAAATGCTGAAGAGTCTCACTACTATTAATTATTAGGCCAAAACATCATCAGTCTTGCAATTAATTCAAACAGAGCAAAGTGACAGTGCCAATTCTACAGGAGTGTCAGTCCTTGCTGTTAACAACAAGAAGTTACACAGGTGTGAAATATAATGAGAGTTAGCCATGAAAAACTTTAGTACTTACTAAGGCTTGACACTGTAGTACTCTTCTGGTGTCACAATTTTCAATCCACCAAAGTAGTCCAGGACCCAAATATTGGTGATGTTGAATTTGGCAAAGAACCAATTATGATCCTTGGGCCAATTTTCCATTTCAGGGTGGCGACTGAATAATGCTTTTTTGGCTATGTCTGCTTCTGAATCATTCACCTAAACAAAAACCAGGAAAGTATTACAAAAAGATAGTCATGTAAAGATGAGTTTTAGCTAAAAAGCCACTGCTGACTGCAGTGTGCTTTTTTTAGTCCAGCCCTTGTCCCACGGGGCTCATTACTATGGCTGAGTCTGCTCATCTTCGCTATGGTGTGCAACTGTGTGAGACAGGAAACACTTACAAAGTAGTGGATTTCAACATTAAATCAAAATGCTGCTTTTAGAGTTAGCATGAGCAAGAAAGTATTGCACCAACATAAGAATAAATCTTTAAAGAAAGCACAAAATGGAGAAGTATGGATGCTAGGTGAATTATTATAATGTGATGTGTCTTAGGGGTAATTTCAACTCCTCTGCACCTGCTCATTCAAACGGACAGAAACAGATAAAACTGTGCCCATACATTTGCAAACACAAACACAAATGGGATGGCATTACAGAATCTACAGTGAAGGGAAGGTGAAAAGTGTGATGGCACTTAATATACAATGTGCAGATGTTTGAAGAGTTAAATCAACAGTTTAGAGCTCTGGGTCTAGTACAAGAAGAACTATCTAACTCAGGAAAGCAACTACAAGACTGAGTACATTGCTGAGCACAATGTACAAATATCAGAGCTGTGAAAACACCAAATAAGAATTGAGACTATCAAGTAAAAGAGAGTAGTGATGACTAGTTCTCGTCCTCAATCATTACCCCCGACAATGGGATCAGGATCTTCAATGAATAACACATGCAGCTCTCAATTCCTCCTACAAGACACCAAAGTACTGGTGAACAAGAGAACACTGCCCTGGCAGCAATGCCACCACATCACACAATGCACACTTTTTGTCTATAGTGCCTCCTGCAACTTTGTAGCTCAGATTAGTATTTACTTCAGCAGAGTTTCAGAACAAGGCATGTCACACTGCTTGAACTAAAGAATTTAACTGAACAAGAGAGATGTGAATGAAATATGAGGGCTTTTCCAAAATAATGGCCTCAGACTTCTTAGTTTCAGAACACATTGACAGGAATGAGGGAGATTTCCTGCATTATTGTCTCCCTAAATTCCTTGCTAAAGGCACGTCAACAGAGTTTCTGCAAAAATCAAGGGTTAACTTTTTTTTCCCTCACAAACTACGAGCTGGCCTTTTGGCATCACAACAGAGAACACCTCAGCATGTGCTTCTGCACAGAATTTCCCACCTTTCTCCTCTCCCTCCACTGAACAAATCTGTATTTGATGCACACAACCTTGCCCAGTGTCAGCTTTCAGCTGCTTACCTTGACAATGCTCCCAACGAAGATGATGTGGGCACAGAGGGGGTTCTGGGGATCATATCTGTGCTTCCTGCAGTAAGGAGTCTGTGCCAAAGACACAGTCAAAGAGGCATTTGAATTGACCTGAAATGCAAGAAGGATAAGAGGTTTATGTTTACTTTACTTATGTGAAAAATATGTCATACCCACCACATTTTCAGCTCTTGGTATTTTATTCAGCTCTTGGTCCTTTATTCAGCTCTTGGTCCTTGATTCAGCTCAGTAATACTGGCAGAAAGAACAAAGCTGTCATCACCTTTTCCTAAATACATCTGAAAGGCTCCTTGGGTGAGCTCTGAATCTGAAATAAAGCCCAGTTCAGAGGTGTGCTGAAGCTTGTTAACAAAGTGCAAACATCACAGAACAACACTCCTTAAAACTCTGAATTCAGCCTACCTATTTCACATGCAAATTATTATATATTACAATTCACAGACACAAAGGACAGTACAGAAGACCAGGACATACAGTGAACTTCATCAGGTAAATTCTGGTGGAAGGGCAAAGTGTTACTGAGAAAACAACCAACTCAGCTTCACAACTGTTGGTAAAATTAATTAGAACAAAAACATCTCTTAAAAAAAGCCTCCCGGCTCTCCCAAACAGCTCTTTTGGCATTTAAAGTGAATTTTAGAAGCTAGGTTTTAAAAGAAAATCTGAGTATTTAAGTGAAATACCTAACTTGAAGAATTAAAGAACCCATAGCTGAGTGTTTTCCTAAAAACTAATTTGGTGACCATGGCTTGAAAAGCACTGGTGCCAAACAGGATTGCAGAATGCCATGTACCAAGGGTCATTATCTCCCAGTAAGGGAAGTTCCCCTGCTTTGAGAAGTTTAGTTAGAAGGGCTAATGTCCAAGAGAAACCCTCCACAGTCACTTGAACACTATGGAGAGCACCAGTGACCTCATGAAACAGAAGCAACCACTTGAGAGATAGGAAGTTGCTTAACTCACAAAAAGCTGACTCATGATTATTTGGCACCTTCTCCCTTGACTATCACGTGTCAAGAGTTTCTGCTCTGAAGCAGCAAAATAAGGACCTGTTGAGGAGGCTTCTGAAAGAAATGTCCATTACCAGTTTATTCCGTGGGTTTTATGTTATTCTGAAAGCAAACAGCTGTCTCTGGGATGGATAGAAAGGTATCAGGCAAAATAAATTAGACTCTACAGTACTCAGACTTATGATTAAGCTATTTTAAGGTAACAAACTAAAACCTGACAGGGAACAAACAAAAAATTATGAAACAGTCTGAAAAATTAACATTATTTTGTGTTGACTAATATTATAAGTTTTTAAAACAAACTGCTATTTCATTAATTTTTTAGCAAACTCTTGGCCACAAAAGATCTGGGACAAGGCCAATTACACACTCAGTCTCAGCATGCCAACGCTGCCTTTCCATGTAGCTTATGGTAAGCTCCAGTGATTTAATAACTATTCCTTCAGCAGGCTCTGTTAGAACTCTCTTTGCTCAGGTCCCACACTGACAAGTTTCAGTCCTTTTGACTTTTTTGTGTTTGAAATTTTCGCTATTCAAATATTCTGTGGCGCCTCATTTCTTTGCTCAGTGCTTCTGGAAGCTGCAGACACTTCCTCTGTCTGGTGCTGCCCTTTCTTTCTCAAGACCATGATCAGCAGGAACTTTTCAGGAGACCTCCTGACTGCCACCAGAGTCAGCACTGCTCAAGCACCAATAATTGTTCCCAGGGGCGACATCCATGGAACAGCCACAAACTAAAGCACAGATGAGGAAGAATTTTTCGCTGAGGGTGGCAGGGCATGAACAGCTGCCCACGGAGGTCATGGAGTCTCCCTCTCTGGAGAGTCCTACCAGGACACGTTTCTGTGTCACCTGCCCGAGGTGACCCTGCCGTGGCAGGGCGTTGGGCTGAACGATCTCCAGAGGTCCCTCCCAGCCCCATGAATCCCGTGGCTCTGTGAACCAGCGCTGTCACATTGCCCTGCCAGCCCCACTTGCTGCTGAGCGCAGGCCTGAGTGACCCGGGTGCTTCTCCGAGCGCCCTCCGTGGGGTCACTTCGCACCCGCGGTGTCACCGCCCGGCCCCGCTCACCTCCAGGTCCTGCACGGAGATCTCCATGTCGGTCAGGTACAGGTAGGGGACGCCGCTGCCGCCGCAGGGCCCGGGCGGGCCGTCGCTGAGAGAGAAGATGTTGGCGAAGGGGCGGCCGCGCAGCCCCTCCTGCGCCGACAGCGTGGCCAGCGCGCCCCAGTCGCAGCTGTGCAGGACGTAGCGCGCCATGCGCGCCGCCTCCTCGGGCGGCGGGATGGCCGCGACGGCCGCCAGCAGCAACCCCGAAGCGGCGCACAGGAGCAGCAGCGGCGCCATCGCTCCCCGGCCAGCTAAGGACACGGACATCGCTCTCCGCACAGCCGCGGACCGACACAACCCGCCCCGCACGGTGCCGGTCACCGACTGCCGGGCCCGCCCTCACCGCCCGCCCACCCGCCGGGAGGGGCGGGGCCTCGCCCTGACTCACCAATGGGAGCAGCGCTGTCCGCCCCCTCGAGCCAATGAGCGACAATCTCGGGAGTGACGAGCTACTACCCCGCTGTCAGCCAATAGACTTGCGAGGTCCGCACTCCTCAGCCAATGAGAGCCGCTAGGGGCGGGTTAATGCATGGAGACGATGTAAACAACCCCGAGTGCGCGGCCCAGGAGGGGGCGGAGTCAGCGTCAGGCCGGCAGCCAATGGGAGCCCTGCGGCGCGTCACCGAACGGACGGGACGGAGCTCGGAAGCGGCGAGTGCGCGCTGGGAGTGCCGAGGGAGCCGGGGAAGGCACCGAGGGACACAGCCAGCCTTTCCCTCAACACCTCCGGGGCGGCGACTCCAAGGAGCAGCCCATCCCAATGTCTAATCACCCTTTCTGTGAAGAAATTCCTCTAAATGTCCAGCCTGAACATCCCTGGCACGCTTCAGGCCATTTCCTCTCATCCTGTCCCTCGGTCCGTGGGAGCAGGGGCAATCCCCACCTGACACGCTCCTTTCAGGTGCTGTAGAGCGGTCAGGTCCCCCCGAGCCGCCTCCTCTCCGGACTGACACCCCCAGCTCCCTCAGCGGCTTCAGTGCTCCAGACCCTTCCCCTGACTCGCTCCAGGCCCTCCAGGCCTTTTCCGAAGTGAGAGGCCAGAGCTGGACACAGCATTCGAGCTGTGGCCGAGTACAGACGGACAATCCTGCCCTGCTCCTGCTGGCCACACTCTTCCTGCTCCAGGCCGGGATGCCGCTGCTGGTCTGGTCGTACCTCACCGCGCTGGCCCCGTCCCACAGAATTCCCGGACAATCCCGTTTCCCGGGGACACCAGGTACGGGCAGACGGGAAAGTGGTGGCAGCGCTCCCGCTGGCCTGCGGGGGGCGCTGGCGGGACGCGGCTCCCGGCGATGTCCCGGGATATCCCCGCCATGTCCCGGGATATCCCCGCCATGTCCCGGGATATCCCCGCCATGTCCCGCCGATGTCCCCGCGATGTCCCGCCGATGTCCTGGAGATGTCCCGGCGGCTCCCACCTGTACCGAGCCAGTCTCCTCCTCCGACACCCCCCGTTCTGCGGGGTCCCAGTGACGCGGGATAGGCCGTGGCGCGGTGCCCGGCAGCAGCCGTCCCCTGGCATCGCCCCTGCTCTGTGTGCCTGGGGAAGTCTGTCACATCCTGGAAGTGTCCAAAAACCGCGTGGATATGGCACCTGAGGACATGCTTTAATGGTGAGCACGGGGTGCTGGGTGAACAGGTGGAGTCAGAGATCTTAAAGTTCTTTCCCAACCATAATGATTCTGTCATTCTACAAATCCAAGGGGTGATACCATCGGCCCCACTATCCCAACCTTAAAGGCTGGTTCTGTGTCACCACAGGTGTTTGGGACCAAGCCTTCCCTTGGGAAAACCTTATCCTTTAATCACAGCAGCAGGGATTATCTGGTTTGGGCCACAGAGCCCACAGAATGATTTGCCACTAGGCAGAGCTCAGGTGTTACCTCTTGCACACTGCAGGATTTATGTCAGAGCCCTTGCCTCTGCAAGGCTTGGTTTTGTCAGTTGAACACCATTCCACCTTCCACTGAAGGCTCTTCCAAGCATTACTTACCAAAATAAACACTGAGCTATCTTATTTTATTAATCACTTTGTGCTCAGTAACCTTATAAAGATTTGTAGAAAGAGATGCTTGAAACTGGGGTAATACTGAGACTTGATTCAATTGGTCCTAAAAGATGGTGGGTTTTCATATTTCCACCTGGATCCAAGTATGTCCACACTATGTAATTAGCAATGTAGCACTGAGAAAGCCAAATTAACTTGCCCTGTGACCACCATCTTCCCCAGGTGCTCCACAGCACCCACAGCTTATAGCAGGCCAGATGGATCATCCTGTTGGGCTGAACTCAGCAAGGAAAACACACCACCCATCCATTCCCTGTTTTCTATCTGTTGTCCTGTACAGGCAGGACAAAATAATTTTTCTTCCAGTATTCTGTTTGCCTGTAAAGCATGGTTAGAGATCTCTCTTCTCCAGGACACATGGAGCCTTCTGCTCTTGCCTTCTCCTGGAGATGCTCAGGAGAAACTGAAATTTTCATAGGAAAAAAAAAGATAAAAAGTATGCCCTAAACCCCTGATGTGCAGCCACTAGGCTCTCTCACTTCCTCCGTTAGATCTCAGAGAAAGGAGAAGGATTCTTCTGTTGTGCTGCAATGTTGTCTAGGGGCTCTCAGCATCCTTGCATAACAGGGTCAAGAAAGTATTGGTAGGCACTACTAGTTCTCCTTTCCAAATCATGTGCTTCACTGCATTTAAAAGCAAGTAAATAGACAGTGATATCTCACCATAAATGGAGCCGAGTTTTCTTCCTCCAAGGTCGAGTTCATGGAACAATCTTAATTTCAGTGTGTTTTGTATGTGATGGGCTTCAGGCTGTGTCCCTGGAGAAGATGTATTTTAGTCAGAAAGTGGGCAAGGTTTCTATCCTGGCTTGTGTCATGTTTTGCCTGCCCTCTTCAGAGCTGGTTTTCCCTGAGCCAGCTCTCTCTGCAGACAGCCTGGTTGCTGCATGGCTTGGGCACGGTTTCTCCTCAGACACAGCCTAGCTGTGCTCTGGTCCAGGCTTCCTGTCTAGGTCATGCAGTCTGTCCGTGAACAGAACCCTTTCTGTGTCCAGATAACACTCGGGGGCTGTGCAGTCTCGCTGTGTGCAGCGCTTGATTCCTGAGCCAGGTCCGCTCTCTGCATCCAAATGACAGCCGGGGTGATTAAAGTCACTTGCCGGGGTGATTAAAGTCACTTGCCGGAGTGATTAAAGTCACTTGCCGCTGCCAGTGACAGAAGAGACTGACTGGTGAGTCAGCTCTGGCAGAAGCTGAAGTGCTCAGTGCTTTGAAGTGCCAATGCTTGGTGCCACATGAGACCCACCATGCAAATTGTTTCTAAAAATGTTGGTTAGATTCTCTCCTGAGGAGATACCACCAGCTCTGCTGCTGCTGCAAGTGGCACACAGCACAGACCTCTGCTGAGCAGAGAGGTGTTGCATGCTTGTGCATAAGACATTTATTTGTTCTCACCCTCAAACTTCCTGAATTACCTTGGTTGGGAATTTAGCTTGTGACTCTTTCCTTGGTGTATTTTTTAGAAGATAGGTAGAGTTATTACAGCCCTGGTGTGGTGTTCAGCTAAAAGACCTTTTTTAACAGCCAGCACACAGGCAGTGGCAAAGCAAGCTTCCTCTGTGCACAACCTGCTAGGGACAGAAATATTGTTCCATTTTCAGTTAGAAAATCCTGTTCAGTCAGGGCTTGAGCTGCATGCTGAGGAAGCTGCTGGTGGGGGCCATTGCTTGTGGAGCTGCTTTCTAGGACACTTGAGAGATGGGCAGTAGGACTAGCCTGAGAAGAGTGTAATCAAAACCAGCACACATACCCAGAATTCTGTCAGCAGCCATGTTCTGACTTGTTTTGTTGGTTTATATTAAGCCTGGTGTACTAAAACTAGTAACTACAGAGGAACTGCTCGGTCTAGAAGCAAGCTGTCAGTGGCTCATGCTGATAATATTTGTCCCACCACTATATGAGTAAAATGGGATGCAGCCATGCCTCTAAACACCCCAGCTCAGTTTGTTCTCTAAAGTAAAGCAGATCACGAGGAAGAAGAGTTCTGCAAAAACATTCAGGTGCTGCAAGAGATGACACCAGTTATCTGAACACCACCCACCAGCCCCTGTGGGACCAGGGTGACCCATCTCACTGTGATCTCATTATTACGAGGTGAAATGCTCCCTGTGCCATACAGCCTTTTTAAACTTTGCTGTAAAAAGTGCAATAAAGTGTACTTTTTACAGTGAAGTTTAAAAAGTGCAGCAAAGTGCTTGGGGACAGGCTTTTGCCCAGAACCTGGCAATTAGGAAGCCCTAATTAAGAAGCCTGGTTAGTCTGAACCACGATGTTAGCGCTCAGGCGCCAGCTGATAGTCAGGAACACATGGAATTTAGTCTCTACCACCTACTTTTTTACGTGGCCACTACAAAAACCACCCAAACTCACATTCCAATTCAGCTTAGTGAGAGCCACTTTATAGCCACGTCTTTCCATTTAGCTCCCTTTGGTGATGGGACTTTCCTGCTGCCATCGGTTCCCAGGGTGCAGAGAGCCTGGGACGCCGGCCCGTGTGTCCGTGTGTCTGTGTGTCCCTGTGTCTGTGTGTCCGTGTGTCCGTGTGGGTGCTGGCACGTGTGTGTTTGTGTGTCTGTGCTCTCAGAAGTGCTTCGCTGCAGCTGCAGGACCCGAGCACAAAGATGTCAATGGTATGAAGCGTTCCAGCTGAGTTCATTTCCCGCTGATAAGTCCCTGAAGAAGAGGGTGAGGCTCAGCGTCCACGGCATTGGTTGAGTGCTGAGGGCCACGGGCAGACAGCTCGGGGCACACTTAGCAGAACAGTGGGTTCAAAAAGCAAGTTTCCCCCAGAAAAAACGCTGCTCACGTTCGCTTCCTCTCGGGCTGCCAAGTGTCAGACCTGCTGTGTAAAGCCAACCCAAAACAGGATGTTGGCTTTTTGAATTGATTGATCTTTGAATTGCAAATGTTGTTTCTTTGGTGGTTACCTTATTTCCCCCCCCCCCCTTTGATTTTTTTTTTTTTTGTTTGTTTTTTTTTTTTTTTTCTTTTTCAGTTGAGAGCTGAGCTGCTTGAGTGAGAACAGAAAGGGTTGAGACCCCGTTTTCAGGAGGTCAAAAGCCCAATATAGTAACAGCTGCTCGTTAGTGAATTCCAGGAAAGGATGTGGGTAACAGCAGCCAAGGCCGGGCAGAGAGGTGGACAGAACGACCTCAGATACTGGCACTGACAGGTGAGCTGTACTAAACCCCTCAACAAATGTCTTAACAAAGCACAGAATTGCAATCTGTCCTGCAGGAACCCACAGCTCCCTCCACCCTTGGCTCTCCCACCACCGTGACAAGCATACCTTCCCAGATTTGGCAGCTAGGCAGACACACCCAAATGAGATAAATGCACGGACACACATGTCAGAGACAAAGTTTCAGATGCCCTCCAAAGCACTTTTAACTAGCTGGGTTTTGAATAAAGCACAGCCATGTCTCTGCATCTCCTTTTTGTTGCTCCCTCTGAGCGCCCTGCAGAGGCTCCCTCCATTGTCCATCCTTCATAGCCAAAATGCAAGAAGCCAGCAAATGTTGCCCATGGTGTTTCCAAGCATGGCAGAACCTCTTACGCCACCTGTTCTGAAGGAATGCCAGGATGAAGGAGTTCCTTACACCTCTCCCCCACATCCTGCCTGTAGCAGGAGTGCCAGTCATTTCTTCTTGAAGCAAACTTGTTGTGTTGGCCTCACATGTCTTGAAAAGAATCAGACAGGAAGCTGCAAAATCCAGGGGGCCATAACTACAGCATTTTCTCAGTCAAATGAAAATTTCCCCCAGAGCCTGTTTTAATGGCACTAGTGATGACTGTATTTTTTTTCCCCTGCAGAACAGAACAGATGTGGAACTTTTTTTTTTTTAATATAAGAACAAGTTAGTCTAAGTCATGACACTGCTACATGCCAGGTTTGTAAGCAGGGATATACAGAAGGGTGCTGAGTCATATTCGAAGATACCTCCAAATATTTCCAAATGCACTTGAAACACCCAGTTTCTCTGTAGAACTTCCCTTAATATGGTTTGTTTCAAAGTTCTTGCAGCTAAAGCATGTGGGTTGTTTCTTCAGATTTTCTGGTGGTTTTCAGTCCAGAAACAAGAGAGAGGAGAACAAATCCACACCTCATGTCTTTCTGTCTGGAAGAAAACATACACCATATTTCTGTGCATTCACCCCTTGCTCCTTCAGGAAGGAAGATTTAGCATCAAAAAGTGTCGAAAGTACAGACAAAATGACAAAAGTGCTCCGAGTACTGTGTACCATGCCCAGAGCAATGGCATTTGGGAATCCAGCAGGCAGAAAAGATTTGCTTTTGTGGCAAGATACTTGGAGGCAGAAATAAATGGAGTGAAGAATTGTGGTGGGGGCAGCTGCAACAGCTTTTGCTTTACTAATATGGGTGAAGTGATACTGCCTCTCCCTAGCAGTTTCCTTTTCTGTACACCTAAGCAAATGGTTTCCTCTGCACAGCAGAACCCCTGAAAGCAGAAAGAAAATACTGAAACAGCTCCTGAGCAGCAAGAAACAGTTATGGGAGGTGTGACTTTGACGGTGTGTTACATTGCAGATATCTTGAAAGTAACACTTTAAACCCATGTCCACTGAAACCCCTCAGCTTGAAATCCTCCTTCTGTCCCCACAGCAGGCAAAGCATGGGCAGTAGAAGAATCCTGCCCTCTCTGCCTCAACCCTACTTCTCAGTTCAGTTTATATTCCCTCTCCTAATGTACCATTGGCAGGACTTGCAGAAATCAATAGGATTTCCAAAGAAGTGGTAGTTTCATTTTCATATTTATTTGAGATTTCATTTTCTTGTATCTACAGTTGCAGCATCTTCTGGTTGCTTACAGCAGAGGGGTTTCATCTAATCCATCTAATCCAGTGTTTCAACAACAGAAAATTTAATTAGTCCTCTTGCTCAATCTCCAGATTGCAACAACTCAGCCTATCATTCTTTTGGCCAAGGACAGAGTGAGTATTGTATATTGAATCTGGGAGATAATTGGATCATGATTTAAATCTGCAAATTCCACAGGAGTCCCGCAGCATGCAGGACAGCAACAGTTAACTACACTGGAAGAACCACTGTCGGTAACAGGGAGCTGGGATATCTTGATGCTCACATTTTTATCCATGCTGGAGCGTTTTCAGCCACAGCCAGCAGGGACTTGTGAAACATTGCACGGGAGAAGTATGCATCCCTTCTAGAAAACATGCTTTAACTCACTTCTGCCCCCAAGGTATCGTGCCAAAATGACGATACGACATTGTGTCACTTTGCAGCTGCACTCAAAGCGAGGAAGCCAGCAGAAGACAAAGGGAGGGTTTCCAAATTCCTCCAGCACCACCCCGCTCTCGAGAGGTGGGGACTGAAATTCTTTGAGAAGGAGCATATGCAAACAGTTGCTAAAAGAGATGTCCGGTTTACAACACTGTGATCAGCGTGGAAAGGGAAACTGCAGCAAAAACATTCCGGAGCCTTGTTTTTCCCCATCTGAATTTTTCTACCACCACGGAAGCTTCTCACTTCCAGTGCACAAGTCCATCCCTGCGAAGGGAGGGGAGAACGACCTGCACCTTCCGACCTGGTGCTGTGAGACACAAATTCAAGGTGGAAAGAGCTGGTCCTGCTTTACAGCTGGACAGTGACAACTTTGCATGGGGACCCTCTGCTAGTGCCCACAATTAAGCCCTGTCTCCTCTCTGCGGAATCACCCAGTAGATCCTTGTCCTTCTGGGAGTCCCAGCCGTGCACCGGGACAACGCCTTAAATTCTGTTCAAACCCAGTAATCGCCCTCGCTCTCCTCCTAATTCTGCCTTTCTAAAGACAGCTCATTGCTGAGTGAAATTACCGAAAAGAAGGCAGAAAGGAAAGCTGCAGTTAGAAGGAAGGGGATTCTCTCCTCACAAACAAACAGGCAAGAGACCCTGCAGCCTGGGAGAGGGAAATGTGGACAGCGGAGAGATCGAAGCAGAGATACCAGAGCAGAAACTGCAAGCAGTGAAGAGAAATAGAGACTAAACGGAGGGGTGGGAGGAGAATAAAGATAAGGTGATAGGAAGGGGGAGAGAGAAGAAGGGAGAGGAAATGCACATGCGGTGTCCCCAAGTTTGGGCGCGGAGGCAGAGCTTGTTGCTTGTTGTCTCACGAGCCCAGCGCCCCGGGAAGGACAGTATCTGTTTAGATTTGTGTCTAAATTTAAACCCTGATCGCCTTGCCTCCCCCTCCTCTCCCCTCCCTCCCTCCCTTCCTCTCACCCACCCGCCCTTCTTCCTTGTTCGCAGTGCAGGGCCGCTCGCCGGGCTCTGTCAGTGGGGCTGAGCAGCAGCCGGGATCCCAGCCCGGCACGGCTCTGCTCGGCTCGCCTGGACTCTTCCCACCGGTAACACGGAAAGGGGTGGGGAAGAAACCGAGGACACCTCTCTCTTGCGGGACATGGAGGTAAAGAAAACTTTTTAATTTCCACTAGCTTGTGACTGGCTCCGTGATCTGCTTTAGCTCCACCTTGCAAACAATTTCTCCCTGAAGGCAGCTTCAAAATATCTTCTTGCTGGGGTTCACATAAAGGTCTCTTTCCTCCCATCCCAACTCCTGTCGTGCACCTCAGACTCTTTTGCAAGTTTTAGTCCAGATTTGGAAAGCAGGGGGATGGTTTGGGAAGAAATTACCTCTGTGAAAGGGGAACGAGGAAGAACTGCCATTTACTTATTAGTCTCCGAGGTGTGATTAGTGTATTAGATTTTAAAAGGTATCATTTTGAAATTAGATTTTAATGGGGACATAAGAGAACAAACCTTCCAAGCTCCTTGGGGTTGGTTCCTTCCCAACCCGTGCAGCAGCAGTTGTGATCCACACCCTCAGCTGTGTGCAGCCCCTGCCCCACATGGATTGGGAAGTCTCATTTTCCTTATCAATAGAACATTTTGGGTCAGGGGAGGGCACCAGAGAACCTGTGCTTGAGTGAGGTAGATGAGTAGCACACTCCCAGAGGGTTTTCTGTCCCTTTTTCTCCATGCACCCTGTGCTTCAAAAGAGTTGGATCTCAGGGTGGGCACACAGCTGGTGGACAGGATTCTGGCTTCCCTGGGGTTTATATTCAAGCCTTCTCCTGTGTAACACCCTCTTGGCCATGACAGTTCACCTCCCTCTGTCTCCCGTGCCATTCATTCAAAATGGGAATGGTGGTGCTTGCTTTGGTCATGTCAGGCTGTATTTGTGAGCTTTTCAAATAGTTTTCTTAAGTGGCAAGGGAAAAAGAATATTTATTTTTAGGAGGGGCACAGGAAATAGAAAGGTGATTACAACATTGGCAAAACCTCAAATTATGAAAGAGGACATTTGGTATTTCTCTCTGCTAAACAGAGACCTTACTAAACACTTTATATTATCTTCCCAGATAAGCCTTTTTCTGTGTGGATGCAGCCCCAGTAGCAGGGACACACAACAGAGCCAGGGAACAGTGTGCTTCAAGCACCACTTCAATTTTTCTTCGAAGAATTCCAGTGCATAACTCAGCTGGGATATTGTGGTAACACCCAGGTGCTACCATGACCATCCTTGTTATCTGTGCTGACTTGCCCCACAGGCAAGGGTTAAAGATTTGGCCTGTTCAGGTGTGTTTTGTTACAAAAAATGTCCTCAGCCGAATTATCTAAATAGATTTTGGGGTGGAGAAGGATCAAATAGTGGTGAAACCAGCTCAGTACAGACTACTTATGTGACATGACAAATGTTTGGCTTTACAAGGATTTTCAGGTTTGACAGAGCCTGGGTTACTCACTGTTAACACTTGTTTTATTCTTTTTCACTGTTGTATCCTGTCATGTTTCAGAGGGGAGGGGGAATTGAGCTCCTAATTTGTTATAATTTAGAGCTGAAACAGCGATTTTGGCATGCTGAAGACGCTCTTCCTTACCCCCTCTCCTTTCCACACACAGAGAACTGTATTTTCTGTTGTCTCTGTTGAGTAGAACAGAACACACCTGCCATTTCCTCTTTGGAGACACATGTGACACACGTGGAAGGTCTGGTGGCCAGGAAGCTTCTCTGAAGTGTGTGACCTAAGAGCTCCCTGCTCTTGATTCTGTCCCTTTATCTCTATTTCCCACCTTTTTCCTTGTGTTACCTATTTTTTTTGGTCATCTGTAGATTGCTGAATCCATTCTTATTTTTAAAATATCTCAATTTCCAATATATTTTATAAGTAGTGCACTTGGTCCTGCCCCAGGCCTTCAAAAAGGTGTTTAATGTCCCAAAGCTAAGAAGATATTAGTCTAAAATAGAGCCAAGAGCAAGAGTTTGATTTCTCACCAGCTGATTCTCTTCTCTGTTTATTCCCAAGGGCTTTTCACAGGCAGGACACAGAGGCTCACCACAGTCTTTTTGCTTTAAAACCAGATTTAATGATCCTGTGCAGCAGGAACGAGAGGAGTCCTGTCATTTCCCTGTTTGCTTCATCAGTGGCAGGCAGAGCTGCTCCCTGCTTTCCTGCTGGCATAACTGGCAAGCTCTTTGCTCTAATGGGACACATGAGGATTTCCAGCATTAGGAGGAAAAGGGCAGAGGGCTGACCTAGCCAGCTGATTCCCATCACATCCCTGGCAGGAAGACCCTAGTTTTGAAAAACCCACAGAAGCAGGATAGTTGGGATCTCTTTCTTAAAGGGGTTAGTTTCAGTTGCTGCTTAGGCACTAGTACCTGTGGTCTTAGCCATTTCCTGCTGTCAGGAATGTACCACATTGAAAGCAGCAACTGAAACTATTTAAGATCCTAAAGAGGGAGCAAAAGGCAGCAAAACCCTGCCCTTGCAGTTCACATAATTTTGTGTCTGTTGATCTTCAGTGTTTTGTTTTGTTGTTTGGCGGGTTTTTTTGGCCAATCTTCTTGATGCAAAATAGATTTGACAATCAGTTTTCTTTCCAGTGTTACGGCAGATGAAAAGAAATCACGAAGTTTATACCACAGATTGTTAACATGAGTTCATATCAAAAATGTGTAAAATTGCACTGGGGAAAGCTAAGCCACTTGTGAAGAAAAGCAGCCATGAAACATTCTTTGCACTTATGATACAAAAAGTATTAGAAATTTTTGTGTTGGTTTGTTAGTATACATCTTCAGATTTGGCCCAAGCTGTCAAATTCCCATGGCTTGTGGCTTCCCAAACCTTGCTGCAGATGTTGTGAGTTAAGGCATCCACTGAAAGTGCTTGTGGCTTTCTGCAGCCCATGTTCCACAGCAGTCGTGGCATTCCTCTTCCCAGCCTCTCTGTAGGGGCTTGGGAGCATAGAGACACTTGAACTTTACTTGCACAGTGAAGGGAAACAATCCAAGACTGAATTTCACTTGGGTGGTTCCCTATGGTGTGATGGGTTCCTAAGCTGCAGAGATGCAGCAGCAAGGTGTATTTTGGGAGGCTCCCTGCTTCTTTGTGCCTACCAACACAAAGATGTCATTTAATTCTGTGACATCTCCATTGCCATGTCTCTCTTCTGCAACTATTCCTGCTAGATCTCCATTTTGCCTGTTGGTGCACTGACTCAGCAGAGGGAAAGCTTTTCCAGGGCTGAGAGCAGTTCTCTGCTCACTTCTCCCTTCTGGGCAACCTCCTGGGCAGCACTCACCCTGTCCTTAGGAAAACTGCACTGAGGAGACATCACCCAAGGGGACTGCATTGGAGGGGATGCAGGAATGGGTACTGTGCCGATGAGGGGGCTGAAATCTGTGACCATCCTGGTCCTCAGAGCAGCAGGATGGGAGGTGAGCTGGGCTGAGAGAGGTCTCTGCCCACCCTCACAGCTGTGGAGCCGAGATTACGAAGAGGCATTACACCATGGTTAGCTCTGCCAGGAAGCAATATCCCTTTCCCAGGAAGCTCTGATGATTTGCTTTCATTCTAAAAGTTAAAGTGTTCTTTTTCCTCTTTTCTTTTTTTCTTTTTGCTTAACAGAACAGCCCAACCTCAAATACACTTGTTTTCAGTGTTTCCTCCCAGACCCATCAAAATGACATGTTCGCACAGTGTGTCTGTGAAAATAAAGGGAAGAGTATTTAAATATACTGGGATAGGTACTATATTTTACTATATAATATTTTATTTTATTTAATATAATATTTATATTTAAATGGGGAGAGGACCCCATTTTACTCCTTAGGTCTGGTCAGATTTGGGACCTGCTTGCCAGTAAATAGCATGTCTGCAACAAAGAGACCTGGAAAGGATCCAGTTTGCCAGACTTCCACATCCCTTTGACTGGGGGCCTCTCTCTTGAAGGACAGGAAACAGCCAAACCAAATCCCATGGGTTGTGCTGCAGCCCTTTCTTCCACCTAGCAGAGACCCCAGAATAAATGGAATTAAGGATTTTCCTGTGTTATCAGAGAGGGATAATTCTTCTGAACCTCTCCTCACTTCCCAGTTTGATTGTCTGAGTTTCCTAAGCCACGGTGACAGCATTTTGGAAATGCCTTCTGTCCTGTGCTTCACAATCTAATTGGCAGGATGCTTTGCAGTTGAGCAGCATATCACACATACCTTCTCAAACATTCCCAGGAGCTGCTTATCTGAAGAACAGGGGAAAACATCGGCACTGCTTTATCAATAAATGCTGCTTGGAAACTTGCTGGCTTTTATCATGGAAATGAACCAGCCCACACAAACTGGGGTTGGTTTTCCATTCTGTTTCCACTTTGGTCTGTTAACAGAGGTGTTTTAGAGAGACAGGTGCTCCTTTTCCTAAAACAACAGCTCTACAGCCTGAATTTGGGATCTGAGCTGGCAGCTGAACCCAGCAGCAAGGAAACCTCTTTGGAGGACCTTGTCTTGGTGCTTTGCAAACAGGGATATGCCTTTAGCAGTTTGCAGGACAGCAGGCATAAGATGAATGTGGTCTAGGGACAGCAGAGCTGTTGTGTAAGAAGTTATTACACACTCACTGCAGAGTTGCTTCACACCTGGTTGTGACAGAGGTCACTTCATTCCTACAGAGTCTCAACCAGACATGGATTTAAGCTTTGTGCAGGTCACGATGTATCCAGCTATGCAGTCTCATGCCATAAATG